TAATCTATGGAAACCAACAAAGATCTTACAGCCCTCCTTCGGTAAATCTTAACAACTAACAGAAAATTTATCAACGAAAACTTCCTGTGGAACATGGTGTGTTTATAAATATTTCCGAGAGATCGCGCTGTAGGTTATGTCATCTAGAAAAATAGACAAGCCATACAACTTTGTTGACGTTGTATTTTGTGATGTTTATTTTGAGTAGGTAGGGAACCAAATTGTATTAGTAAATGTGGTCGCTTGTGTGTCGCATTAAATGTTATAGGAGGTACTTAATACGAAGTTTTATATACTTTTATTAAGTACAACAGAGTGTTATTTTATTTCAAAATCGAGCATAAATAAACTAAAAAGTGCAAGTGTTATTTAAAAAGTGTCAAAAAGTTTTAAAGAAACTGTTTTTAATATTATCAGAGTGAGTTCATAACCACAATCTTGGAAGTGATTATTTGGTATGTTTTTCTTTGTATTTTTAATGAATAATTATTTAAATTTTAAATATTGTGAATGATCATAAGCTTAACACGTAATAAACTCGAAATAAATTATAATAGATACCTTCAAGTAGCTAAATATCCTTGAAAAATGAAAAGGAACCATTAAATTTCAGGTTTTACACCTTTCTCCTGTATATAGGTACATTACTTAAAGTAAAAGTCAGTAATTTTTCTATATTTAAAAGTATTTTTTGAATGTTTCCATAAAATAGAACCCTAGATCAGCTATCTGTCAAATAATGTTTCTAATTAGTTACTTACTATTTTGGGGGAATATTGAATATGTATGTCTGTTATCTTAAAACCTTCAATGGAAGTATAGATTATTACTTGAATATTTTAGGAAGGCGACTTCTTTAAGTAATTATTTTACAATATTAGTAAAGCAAAGGTGTTATTTTTCTTCTCTCAAGTTCTCCCCTTAAGTTTATGTGCTGTATCTGAGTCTTCTTATTTTTTATTACCTACTGGTCTTGGAGAACTTCTCTATTTAGGAGTAATGTACCCTGTAACTGCAGAACTAAGTGAATAATAAACTGATTATTTCAGGAAACTATAAATGGGAAACTATTCTTCATTATTTGAAATTATTCTTCAAAAACAGCTACTTTTCGCAGCAAATCTCAAGGGGGATTACATTTTAAAACAGTTTGCCTTTCTTAATACATACATGTAATATACCATCTAATGGCAACATCAAGATAGTTTTAATTAGCAATTTCGATCCCTTTGCTTCCCATCATTATCTGATTATAACTATACCAAGCAGAACACCCCTTCTCAGGGGTGTTCTGAGATTTCTTGAGAAAAACAGATTTTCAAAGTAGGTTCAGAAATGAATAAATTGATTAATTCTAAGCAACTTTTATTCTATCGAGTTTTTTTTTAAATTCGACACAAAAAGTTTGATACTTTTTGAGTTGATTGGTAGTGAAGATGTTCATTCAAGTAACTCAAAAAGTAGGTGCATTTATCGAAAAAATATTGTTAGCAAAAACTGTAGACTACTGTACTGCCGTCCTATGAAAGGTCCTATCTGCAAAATTTGGTACAATGACTTTATTGGTTCATGGCATTCTTAAACATATTATTTATGTATGTACAAAATGAAATTGTCCTATAAGCATCTTAAGTGCCTTATTATATACCTAAATGGTTTGTCGTAACTGACTAAAAACCCATGTTCACTAACATGAATTGTCCTATCTCAAATATACTAAGAAAAATTGTCAGTTTTAACTTTAAAAATGCTATTAGGACCAGCAGCGGCTCTTGGCCTAAAAAAGTGGCGAAAACGAGGAAACCTTTCTGAAGCCAAAAGGAGTTTTGGTACCTACGCCGCACCCAAATGAAAAATTCGTTAAAAAAATGTAGAGTTTAGGGCTCTAAGAACATGAAAACAGTTTTGCAACCGATCACTCTAGATCAGATACTGCAGTGTTTACTGGTTTTGGTCCGCCCCGAGTATTTCATTTCCCCGGTACCTATATCTAGCAGGTATTCAACAGTCTCACGGTCAGAGGTCCAACAATCTCTCACGGGATGGCAGAGAGATAGAGAAAGAGAGAGAGAGAAAGAGAAGACTAAAGTGACAGATATCATAGAAAAAATTGCACAAGCCAAATGAAGATGGGCTGGACATGTAGCATGTTTAAATGATAATAGGTGGACCAAAAGACTCATGGAATGGAGACCTAGAGAAGATAAAAGACACCGAGGTAGACCACCAAAAAGATGGATGGATGACTTGAGAAAAACAGTGGGAAATTCGATACAGATGGCACAAAATAGAGAACATGGCACAAAATAGAGAACAATGGAACAATATGGAGGAGACCTATATCCAAAATTGGATGTAAGAGGTTGCGGAATGATGATGGTGATGATACTAGAACCGAGAGTGAAGAGATACTTAAAAAAAAAGCAGTATTACCTTTCTTTACCTTTAGTTTAATTTTACTATTGTTATTTAAAAAGTAGTTTGCTCCCTCTCTGTTCCTCTCTATTTATTCCCCTGTTTTCATGTCTTCCTCTGTCATTATTTACTCTCTCTTTCTGCCACGTCGAATAAATATTCGCCCTCTCTCTTTGTATTTTGTGTTGACAGACAAGCTAGTTTTATGAAATAGCAACATCCTGTGACATCTGTGCTAACTTCATTTTAGTCTCCCACTTTCTGTCAGTTAAATGTTCGAATGTAGTGGGAATATTATCAGGGAAAGCCGAAGAGGTGCGTGTTTGTATAATGAAAAGCGTGAACAGATATTTCTTCTGGCGACATTCGGCTATGAAAAAGACAATGATAGAATGATTGCTGTAGAAAACATAATAATCAAATTTTTTGAGCCTTTTATAGCAGCAGATTCATTTCATCACCAAGTTGAGTTTGCCTCCAAAAGAAAAAAAAGTATATGATTTTGACGATTTTTGCGAAACGGTAAAATAAGCCAATTCATCAAAAGTTAATTTAATAAAAATACAACTTTTAACTTCACTAAAAAATATTAAGATATGTTAAGGGCACGCTAACGAGGCCCCAGATTCGTAATACATGTCGCGGTGTAACTTTAGATAGAAAAGAAATCTTATATCCAAATTAAAAGCGCGCATTCCTCAAAATCGTATATAATTTTGAGAAGATTTACCGGTTAACGAACATGCTTTTAAGGAAGAAAATTATTAATATTATCCCAGATTTAGCCATACGGCTCACACTCCCTCTAAGGGGAAAATCCACTCATCCGATACCTACGGTATCAAAAGGATTGAGCTCTGGTGGGACTCTTTATGTTATCGAGTCCTAGGTGACTTGGTACATCGGTGTATTTTCCCAAAAATTTTCGCACGCATCTGGACGTCGAAAGTAGCACAGCTTTCTGCATAATCTTATTTATTCCTTTATATGCCCAGTTAATATCTTCGAACACATCTTCCAGTCCAAGGGTAAATAGCTTTGGTGGGATAACATCTCCCTGGCGGACTCCTCTGTTGATTGGTATAGCTTTTCGCATCTATTTGTATTTTCATTGTAGCTTTCTTGTAAATATTATGTATGAGGATTCTGTATCGGGAGTCTATCCTGCAGTTGTTCATAGCTCTCTCTATTGCCCAAAGTTCTATGGAGTCGAATGCCTTTTCATAATCAACAAAGCCAATGTATAAATTCGACTGATATTCATTGGCTTTCTCAATTAGAGTTCTGACTGTAAGAAGATGATCCGCTGTACTGTAACCTTTTCGGACTCCTGCCTGCTCTACCGGTTGATAGCTATGGAGCTTTGACGTTAACCTGTTCGTTATTACTCTCATAAACAGTTTGTACATTTGGGACAGCACGGAGATTAGCCTGTCTCCCTTTTTGAAGAGAAGTATTGTCAAACTTTCATTCCAATCATCTGGGACTTTCCTCTGTAAAGACATTCAATGAAAAAAATTTTCAATTCTTCGAGAATAATTTCACTCCCTTCCTTCAACATTTCTACAAGTATTCCATCTGGGGCCGGAGCCTTATTGTTCTTTAGTTGTGCCATATATTGTTTTATTTCGAAGGATTCTATGTTAGGAAGTATTTCTAAGTTGACATTCCATATTTTTCTCTTAAGATCTTCCTTTGCAGTGTTAAGTATATGAGTTCTTGTTTGAGGAATATAAATTACGGTAAAATGTTTGAGTAACTTTTAGGATTTCGTTCTTTTCTCTTATTTCTTTTCCATCTTTATCCTTCAATGAGATTACTATAGGCTTTTCTAAGTTTCATCTTAATCATTTCAGGTCTCGGTTCTCTTCTATTATTTTTTCTACCTGGTTTTCATTATAGATCCTTAAATCATCCTTTAATCCCTTCTTTATTTGTTTATTCAATTCTTTGAAACCATTGGCATTTGGCTTTCCTGCGCTTAGAAATGTGCGTCTCTTTTCCATCAACCGTTTTGTTCCTTCACTTATTCGGTCTTCTTTATTTTTCGTTTTCTTTGCAACAGTCAGTCCTGCTTTCAAGAGCTTTCTTTATTAATTGTGTTCATGTCGGAATATTCTTGTTGCTAATGTTCTACAAATTATTTTCTTAAGACTTCTCTGTACTCATCTCCCTTCTGTCGTATTTTAGTTTGATTTATCTGATTAAAATAATTATTTGGCCTGTTTCTACTGGTTTTTCGTCTGTTTAATAAGAATCCTTGGTCCTAACAGGCGATGATCGCTGCCAGTTGTGAATCGATTGAGAGCAGTTATATCTTCAAAAATGTCTTTGTTTCCACATAAGAAGTAATCGATCTCGTTTTTTGTCTTTTTATCGGCAGATATCCACGTCCATTTTCCAGTTGCTGGTTTCTTAAAGTGTGTTCATGGCATATAAATTTTGTTATTCTAAGAAGTTAAGTAGTGGAACCTCGATTATCCGTCAGGGCACCGGACCAAGGGTATGACGGATAATCGAAAAGACGGATAACAGAACATTAAAAAAAAATTCATAGTATAACTCTCAAATTTTATTTGTATGTTTCATTTGACAATATAAGAGGGCTTTATGTTAGTACAGTCGAATCAATTTGATTTAAATTATTCCGAAATCTTTATTTGTTTTATTGTTACTTCACATTTTGCAACGGCTGAATTTCTTAATCGACGTAAAATCATTAAATCTACCTTATTTGCTTCTTCTTGCCGAGAATACCACTTGATGAATTGTTGTATGTGCGATACAGCTCCTCTAGCTTCTTTACGCAAATCTTTGTGAGTTGTACTAGCATCGTCAACATTTCCACTATCAAAGTTGGCTTCTGAATCAGTTTCCTCCGCCTCTGTTGCCATTTCAACGATTTCATCGTCTGTCAGCAATCGATAGCCGTTTGCGTCGTCATCACAAACTAACCATTCGTTTATGTCATCTTTAGGCAACGAAAACAAAACCGTTGATTCAGCCATAACTTCATTTAAGGGGAGTATTTTCATCTTAAGCTGATTCAGGCCATAATTTATTCCACACTCTTTTCAGCGTTACTTCCGAACCATCAGTCCAAGCATCCACAGTAATGTCGACTGCGTGTTGTAAATTGTTTGCTTTCCAGCATTCTGGCAACGAATATTACTCTTCCATAACTAGGTTTGAATAAATTTTTTCCTGTATCTTCTTTTGAATGTGTTAATGACCGAATGATCCATTGGTTGTATAAATTATGTATTCGCAGGCAGAAAAGAGTAGATACGTGATATTTTTATCGTCACTCCGCAGCATACCGGCTTTAGGATTGGCAGATGCATTGTAAAAATGAGAATCTTCTTTGGTTGAAATTTTTTTGCAAACAAAATGAATTGATGACTAAATTTTTACTTATGCTGTCAATATAACTTATGTATGGACCCTGTCGGTTAACAGAGGTGGCGGTTAATAGAGAGACGGATAATCGAGGTTCCACTGTATATAATTTTTCTCCTCTTTAATTTCGTGTGCCATAACCATGCATCCCTATTTTAGATTCAGTATTTTCTTCTTTTTTACCTAATTTTGACTTGCAATCTCCCATAATGATGGTATGTTTGGATCTAGAGATTTCAAATAAACTCCTCAAGATTTTCGTTTCGTGGAATAGTCGATATATTGCCGCTGACAAAATGGCTCTTAATAAGAAACCAATAAATTAAAATAAAAAATTATGAAAGTGAGTGAAAGCTTATTTTAGGATTACTTCAAGGGTTGAAACAACAGGTTAGGCAACTCTGTAATGTTTGGATGAAGTATTAAACAGCATTACAAAGTACTAAGAGACTAGTCTTAGTACTTCAGTACTAATAATACTTAAAGTGGATCACCGGACCATACATAAAATATTTTAATCTATCTGTGTTGTTTTTAATGTTTTTTTAAATGTTTTTGTTGACGTATTTCCTCAAACACAATACAAATTTTTTAAGAAAATTTTCTACGTAGTGGTACTTTTAAATTGTCCAATTATCACTGATGATGGCATTGTAGCGGAAAGTACTCAGCTAATATTTAACAAATCCTTACATATAAAATACAATTTTATTTTTACCTTCTTTGATAATATTTTTGTTTTATATACATACATTCTGAAACAAAAACTGATAAGAGAATCACTCTACTTATCTAGTTGATAGAATATTTTGATTTGATAATACCTCTTTACAATATGATTGTTAAAAAAATGTATTTTTAATGAGAAAAATATCTATTCTAGGCTGATGTCACTCGATAATTGCTGATAGGAATTCATTGACCTGGTTTTAGAAGGAAATGAGTTCTGATTTCTTTAAAACACAATTTTAAAGAAAATTAAATGGTCTAAAATAAGTTTAAGTCCTTTTGGAAACTGTTATACTATATATAGAAAGTATCGGCAAAGCTCGTAACAAAGGAAAAAAAATTAATAAAATATGTGTATTAGATGGAAAGCAACCGTATATACTCTGAGTATTGGTCAGATATTGCTAATTACAAAAAGATCACAAAATATACATCATCTATTGACAATCAATCAGATACGTTAGAGAAATATGAGATAGATATTGCAGCTATACAAGAAACTAAACAAACAGGAAATTTCACCATGGATGTGGGAAACTATGTGTTTTTCAACAGTGGAGACAATGAACGTGTATTTGGGGTGGGATTTTTTATAAAGAAAACATTTGCCAATCTGGCGATAGATTTTGAGGCAGTCACAAGCAGATTATGTAAAATAAGAATAAGAGGAAAATATAGAAAAGTAACCCTTATAAATGTGCATGCACCAACAGAAAATACTGATGAAGACGTTAAAGATAGCTTTTATGAACAATTAGAACATATGTTTTACAAAATACCATCATATGACATAAAAATAATTGTAGGAGATTTGAATGCCAAGATTGGCCAGGAGGATGTATACAAACAAATAACAGGGGGAAAGAGTAATCATAGAGACAGTAACCTGATTGGAAAAAGAGTAATAGAATTTGCTTTCGAACACAATATGCGAATTATGAGCACTTATTTTGATCACAAAGAAATTCATAAAGGTACCTGGGTATCACCAGATGGACTAACAGTAAACCAAATAGATCATTTACTAATAGAAGCCAAACATATGAAAGCCATAAAAGATAGCGAAAGTTACAGAGGTGCTGATGCAAATTTGGACCACTTTTTGGTCAAAGTTAAAATGGAGCAAATAATACCCACAATTAATAACACTAGTTGTAAAAAAATAAAAAGATATAACGGTGCACTACTTCAGGAGGGAGAAGTAAAGAAAAAATTCGGGCAGAAAATTGAAGAGAAACTGAAAAGCCAGACAACAGATATACAATAGATGATATAGACAATAGATGATATAGAAAGCAGATGGGTACAACTAGAAGAAAAAATTCAAGAAGCAGCCGACTCAGTATTATCAAGAAACAGACAATGTAAACAAACGGATTGGTATGATGAAGATTGTAAGAAAGCCATTAGTGACCGAAATAAAGCTAGAATAAATAGCATAATAAGAAATAATGAAGAGAGTAAAAAAGCTTATGCCGCAAAAAGACGGGAAGCAAAGATCTGTAGAAGGAAGAAGCGGTCAAGTTTAGAGCAGAAACTAGTTCGTATTGAAGAAGATTTTTTACATAAACAAGTCAGGAATTTCTACCAAGAAATAAAACGAGACCGAACCCAGTACAAAACCACATCAAGATATTATAAAGATGAAGAGGGGAATCTGTTAGGTGGAACAGATGAAAAATTAAGAAGGTGGGCCAATTATTTCGAGAACATATTATGTACGGACGACCAAGATGAAAGAGAACAAACGCAACTGCAACATGAAGAAGTAAGGGACCCTGATGTAAATGAAGAAGTACCTACCAAGGAAGAAATTATAGAAATCATAAAAAACTTAAAAAACAACAAAGCACCTGGTGAAAATGGTATCACTGCTGAGTTTCTAAAAGAAGGTGGCGAAATGGTGCAAGAAGAAATCGCTGAGTTAATATTCGGAAGTGTGGATCAAAGAAAAAATACCCAATCAGTGGAAAGAAGTAATCTTATGTCCAGTGCATAAAAAAGGAGACGTTATGAAACAAATTTTAACTAGCTCATATGAATTCAACCTAACATTACACATGCTGTTTATTGATTTTAGACAGGCATATGATACTATAAAAAGAAATAAAGTTTATGAAGCACTAGAATATTTTGAATTTCCACCAAAAATAGTAAGACTGACTAAATGCATACTCAATGAGACTAAAAGTAAAGTCATGTTAGAAGGACGGGTTTCAGATAGTTTTATCACCAATAGAGGTCTGCGACGAGATGACCCGATATCAACAGATTTTTTTAATTTGATCTTAGAGAAGATTTTACGAGAATGTAACATCTAAACTAGAGGCACAATATATCATCACAGGCATCAATGCGTAGCATATGCAGATGATGTTACCTTAATAACAAGGAGACCTGCAGAATTAAGGGAAATCTTTATTAGAATAGAGAGAATAGCCAGGGAATATGGTTTAGAAATAAACGAAGAAAAAACAAAATATATGGTGATGAGGGGAAACGAAAATCATCTAGGACAGTCCTTTAAGATACAAAGCTCAAGTAAAGAAGATAACTTTGAAGTTGTTAGCCAATTCGATTACTTGGGAGGGACACTAACAAATAGTAACGGAGAGAACCAAGAAATCATAAAAAGAATGGCCAAAGGTAGGAAGAGTGCTGGGAGCCTGACGAATGAAGAAATAATGCAAATATATGGTCAACCAAAAATAACAAGACTCGCTAAACTTCAAAGATTAAGATGGCTCGGACATATAGCAAGAATGAAGGAAGGAAGAGTTCCTAATGAATTAATAAACACGGAGGCTGGTACGAAAAGAAAAAGAATCCGCCCCCGAAGAAAATGGCTGGAGTCGGCAAAAGAAGATCTGAAGTCGCTGCGGGTACAAGATTGGAAAAACTTAGCACAAGATAGAAAGCACTGGAAGAAAACTGTTGAAGCCTTGGGCCTTTGAGGCCTGTTGAGCTGAACTATATATTGACAATAAATGGTAACGTGATAGAACAAGTAGAAAAATATCAGTACTTGGGAACTTTGATCAATGAAACCAATGATCATACTGCAGAAATAAACAGGCGAATAGAGATTGCCAGATCAGCATTTATACGAATGAAGCCTCTCCTAACGTGCAAAAATCTAAATTTGGAGATCAGACTAAGTACCATTCGCTGTTATATATTTTTAATATTATTATATGGAGCTGAGACTTGGACATAAAAAAATGCAATTGAAAAAGAATGTAGGCTTTCGAACTCTGGTTATAAAGGCGAGTATTAAAAATATTATGGACTGATAGAATTACAAATAAAGAAGTACTGGAGAAGGTTGGTAAAGAAACAGAACTAATCACTAATCAGAAATTTTGAGACTCGTAATACAGGGAAAGATTCAATTAAGAAGATCTGTTGGCCGAAGGCAGAACTCATGGTTGAAGAATCTACGTGATTGGTATCAATGCAAATCGATTGATTTGTTTACAGCAGCAAGTTCAAAAATAGAAATAGTCATTATGATTGCCAACCTCCGTAGGGAGACGACACTCTAAGAAGAAGACTATTGGTCGTATTCAGTATTTTTGTTCAAAATTATCTTAGCTACATTTTTTATTTGAAACATTTTTTGCTATGGCGTACAGATTCTTGGTAAATCAATTTTTGTCCGTTTTTTCCCTCTCTTCGTGGGAGGGAAAAGTCCAGGGATAAAAGTGGTAAACATTTTTGCATCTTTTTTAGCGACCTAAAATTGACATTATCGGCAAAACTTAGCTTGTTCGTATCTGACGACTCGAATGATTTTATTTTTGTGAAAAAATCTGGATTATGGGCATATAAAGTAGTGTTCTGTTAAATTTTCCTTTTCACGTGGAAATTTATCTTAAAATTACGCCGTTTTTTTAAAAAATGCCGAAATATGAAATAAATAAATTAAAGCACGAGGCTAGTGTCTACTATAAATATTTATTGAAGAAATATTAATGAAAAACAAGGTCGTTAAACAAATTCCCAGTCGTATCTATCGACTATACAAACATATTAAAATATAAAGACTGCGACAATAAGATAATATTTAACATGTGTACATG